GCCAGCACAGAAATAGAAATAAAAACCACAATGAGATGCCATTTCACACCAACCACGGGGGCTATAATTAAAAAAATAAAGGAGCCTGGCCCACGAGGCTTAGTGGTTAAGCATCGACCATGAACCAGGTCACAGCTTGATTCCCGGTCAAGGCAGATTGTGCCGTGACTGCGGGCTCGATCCACAGTGTGGGACATGCAGGAGGCAGCTGATCAATGATTCTCTCATTCTCATCATTGATATTTCTCTCTCTCTCTCTGAAATCAATAATATATATATTACCAAGTGTTGGTGATGGGGAGAAATTGTTAGTGAGAACATAAAATGGTGCGGCTGCTTATGGAAAACAGTTGGGCAGTTCTTCCAAAACACAGAGTTGCAAAAAGACTCAGCAATTCCACTCCTAGGTATAGACCCCAAGGAATTGAAAACAGGGACTCAAACAAATCCTTAGACACCCATGTATACTCACAACAGCCAAAAAGTAGAAATGACTCAAGTGTCAACTAAAGCATAAAGAGAATGGTCCAGCCCTGGCTGGGCTCAGCGGTTAGACGTAGGGGTGTCGAACTCAATCAGAGAAGGGGCCAAAATCTAAAATCCAGCCTAAATCGCGGGCCGAATGGTTTACTGAACAGTCATGAACTGTCATTGTGATGGAAACGCAGCGGAGTGCAGTGATGACAGCGCGGTGCAGGCCACATTGCAAGGCCTGGCGGGACGGATTTGGCCCGCGGGCCTTGTGTTTGACACATGTGGGTTAGAGCATCGGCCTGCGAACCACAGGGCTGTGGGTTTGATTCCCAGTCAAGGGCATATACCTGGGTTCCAGGTTCACTCCCCAGCTCCCACGTCTTACACGCCCAAGAGGCAACCAATTGATGTCTCTCACATAAATGTTTCTTTCTCTCTCCTCCTCCCTTCCTCCCACTCTAAAAAATTCAATGGAAAAATTACCCACAGAGCCCTGGTTACAAGGCAGGTGGCTCTGCGGTCCTTGTCATAGGACTGAAGGTCAGGAGGAATACAAGGTCCCCTCCCCTGATCTTCACCTACCAAAGCAGCCCTTGCCGTCTGGCACTGTGCACACTGAGAAGCCCTCATCAGGATCTACTCCCACTTGTCGTGGAGGTGGAGCCTGTGATGGGAGCCTCCCTGGGAGTCTGTGTGGCTCCTGTGGGAGGAAGCCAGTATGTCCTGGGGGTTGGACAGCCTGGCGTGGCTCTGGGGGCTGCACTGAGGCACGGGGCCCTGGCTGAGAAGGGGGCCCTGGGCTGGGTGGGTGCTCTGTATACTCACCAGGGACCGCTTGGCTTCGGGCAGGAACTGTCCAAACTCTGAGAGCAGGTCCTCCTGGCCCCGGAAGAGGTTTGCCACCTCGGTGAACACCTCCTCTTCAGACATGCCTCGGAAGGGCCGGCTCTTTGTGCCCAGCTGCTCTTTCTGCCAATTGTTGGGAAAGAAAAATGAGTTGTTCGCCAAGGAACCAGGTACTTAGGCTGTGACATTCAGGCATCCCACTGTGGAGGAGACAGAAGGACTACAGAGGGGCCCACCTTGGGGTGCCCCGTATCGGGCTCCCCTGCCTGGAGAACAGTCCTATGTGCTTGTGTCCGAACCCCGTTCCATAGCACAGCCTGAGCCCTGGCCTTGGATGGGGCCTGTGCTAGGAGAGTGGAGGGGATGTGGACAGAAACATGGTCTCAGCCCGCCCAAGGGTAAGGGAGCGTGGTTTTGCTGGCAGGGAATGTGGAACTAGTGCTGGGCCTTCAAGGAAAGAAGGTAAGGAGAAGGGCCACCAAACGGTTCACCAGAGTCACCAATACTTGATGGCCTGACTCAGAGCTCAAAGTAATAATATAAAGACCGGCAGGGACCTGGGTTGGGAGGGCAGGAAGCTGAGAGCAAAACTCAAGTTGGATATCCTATATAATAAAGAGGTAATATGCCAATTGACCCTCACACCCTCACACAAGATGGCCACCCCCATGTAATCAAAGATGGCTGCCACAAGATGGTTGGCAGGGGAAGATAGTTGTGGGCAATCAGGCCAACAGTCAGGGGAGGGCAGTTGGGGGTGACCAGGCCTGCAGAAGAGGACAATTGTGGGCACCAGGCCTTCAGGGGAGGGCAGTTGGGGGAACCAGGCCAGCAAGGGAGGGCAGTTGGGGGCAATCAGGCTAGCAGGGGAGCAGTTAAGGGGTGATCAACTGGCAGGCAAGTGAGTGGTTGGGAGCAAGCAGTCTGGGATTGTGAGAGGGATGTCTGACTGCTGGTTTAGGCCCGATCCTGAGGGGTCTCAGATTGGAGAGGGTGCAGGCTGGGCTGAGGGACACCCCTCCCCCCCAGTGCACGAATTTCATGCACTGGGCCTCTAGTTAAAAATAAGTGCCTTTCAACTTTACACCTGAGGATATGACCAAGTAAGAGGTGTTAAGGCTGGGGCCCTCCCAGAGTGAAGGACATTCCCATCAGTATGCCTACTCCACAGCTATAAAGGGGAACGAGCCCATGTCTCCCTTCCTCCCGGCCTGCTGCACCTGAGGGAAGCGAGTTTTCAATCCTGCATCAGTAGCACCTATTGAAAAGGGGAAAAATAACTTCCTTGTCCCCCACCAAAGCCACCAGGACACATTAAAGACAAAGGGAAAATGGGCAAAGACCACTCAGTTCAAAGAATTAAGTCACCTCTATACACATGAAACAATGAGCAAACTGAGCGACGTTTAAAGAAAAACATCAAACAGTGCCACTTGGCTCACTGGATCAACAAAGATGAAAAGGACTGGTTTTTCCAGCGAGGATGTGGGAACCACAAGGTAGAAAGGAAGACTGGCACAGGGAAGCCTGGTTCTATCTATGACCACGTTACGGATGCACACCCTGACTTAGGGACACATACTCTGAAATGTTCCCAGAGTTGGTCAGTTCTGTTCTAACATTTGTTTTGAAAGCGCATCTGTTTGAGCTTGACATGTACTAAGGAATCATCTGAGTGCAGCAAGGATTTTATGATTGCTTATGTGAGAAGCCCTGGGTAAGAGCAGAAAATTGCACTGAGTAGTGTAGGAATCTAACTGCCCTCCTTCAACACCTGTTAGGAGCAATCTGCCATACATGTCAGGAGCAACCATCCATCCCCATCCCCATCGGGAGTTACAATGTCTGTCCCATTTCAGGAAATATCCTCCCAGCATCTCAGTGACCCACCGGCTGCAACCTTCCCACACCCACACATGAACCACAAGTCTTTTCAAGGTCAAGTGCCAGAAGTGCTGTGGTATTTATGTCATTCTTATCCATTTAATGTTTACAATGAAGTTACCATTTTTAGTAGGTGCCTTCTTTAACATGTCACTAACAGTTTCCCAGTGTCGTGTCCTGACCCTGTTTTCCCATAAGCCCTGTGGCGCGTGCAATTTCCAGAGCAAGGTCACTTCTAGGATGTCACGTGTCACACAGGGCAGAATGGGCTGTGTTCATCCAAGTACACATGGGCCATCTGTATGCAGCTGGATAATGGAGCCAGCTCTCCACAGCTGACCCTAGGCAAGCACTGTGCGTCGAGGACCTTAGTAAAGCTGCATTTAATCCAGGGGTCAGCACCACCAGTGTTATAGCCATTTGACAGATTAGAACCTGAGGTTCAGGCAGGTGAGGGAAAGGGCTCAGGTGGCAGAGTTAAGATCTGAACCAAGACCTAACAGACATAAAACCCAGGAACACACGGCTAAATTTACCCAGAGCTGCTTGCTGTGGGCCTCAGTGTCTTTTAAAAATCCAAGCCAGCCGAAACCAGTTTGGCTCAGTGGATAGAGCGTCAGCCTGTAAAGTGAAAGGTCTCAGGTTCGATTCTGGGCAAAGGCATGTACCTTGGCTGCGGGCACATTCCCAGTAGGGGGTGTGCAAGAGGCAGCGGATCGATGTTTCCCTTTCATTGATGTTTCTAGCTCTCTAACACTCTCCTCTCCTCTCTGTAAAAAATCAATAAACTATATTAAAAAAAAAAAATCCAAGCCAATGTTCTAAAATCAAGATAACTCACACAAAAACTCAGGCTCCTGGCTCCTCCTGAAGAAACAGACAGCCTCGGGTTTGGGTCACCAGGAGGCTTGTTTGAAATGCAGGTGCTGGGCCAGATGTGAGGAGTCATAACTGGGATGAGTTCCAGGCACCAACTCCCAGAGGCTCTGGCTGCAGGACACCAAGCTGTACCTTCACCACTGAGTCTTCTCTGAATGAGTCTGTGTCCCGTCAATATAATCTTAGATAAGTAAGTCTAACTTCTCTGCCTCCTCATTACCATCAACAGAACAGACACCTCCCAGTCTCCTCTCTATAATGGTTCTTCTAGCCCCTAAACTATGACCTCATGGAAGCTGTGAAGGACCCATAAGGTTCTCTATGTTCCCGAACATCACTGCCCCCACCCCCAGATCGAATGCTGACAGCTGCCACTGCAATTGCTCATCTGTGAGAAGCAAGTTCTTACTGCTGCACAGCACTACATACTAGACATGAGCCAGATGGGCCATGCACACCGCCAGCACCACTAGCAAAAGTTTGGCAAAAGTTTGTTCAGCAAAACACTCCACTAGGTTTTCAGGGAACAATTTATCTGACCGTACACACTTATGCTAAAAGAGAATCCCACTTCTTTAATTCACTTATCAAGGTTGTGCAGAAGATTTCATTTTTTTAAAGTGGGTTCTGCTGCTTAGGAAAATAAAAGGTGTCAGAAACTCCATGTCTGGAAGAGGATGATGCCCAAGCCCTTGCATGACACAGATGTCTCTCAGCACTGGCCTGCCTGTGCTTCCTGTTAAGTTTCCTTCTGACCCCTCGGCCTTCGCATCAGCTGTTCCCAACACGGAGAATCCATCCTTTATCTGTACCTCATGGGTCTGGCCCATATGCCAAGATTCAACCTGAGTATCTTCTCTTGACCTTTACACGGTTGGCAACCACTAACCCTGACATACTTCTTTGCATGTCCCTTCTTTTCCACCCTAAACATCTCAAGTTTCTCCCACTTCTAGACTGAACTCCTGAGCAGCAGCAACCATTCACCTCTGCCTCAGTGTTTGCACAGCTGTAATCAGCAGAAATAAAAACTGTGTGGTCTAAAGAATAATGAAGTCGTCTTATAACAAGAGCACCCCTTAGGTTATTTTTTAATCCTTCTGATGTATGTTTCCTTGGGTACAGAGCTGCCTCAAGGAGTGCATTAAAAACATAACTAAACCAAACTCCAATAAGTATTTGTACACCCATGTTCAAAGCAGCCAAAGTGTAGAAGCAATTCAAATGTCCATCAAAAGATGAATGGATAAACAAAATCTGTTCCATCAACACAATGGAGTATTATTCAGCCTTAAAACAGAAATTCTGACACATGCCACAACACGTGCTGAGTGAGATAAGCCATTCACAAAAGGACAATTACCGTATGATCCCACTATATGAGGTCCCTAGAGGAGTCAAAAAATTCATTGAGACAGAAAGAAGGGTGGGTGCCAAGCTGGAAAAGGGGACGGGGAGTTAGTGTCTAATGGGGACAGAGTTTCCGTTTTACAAGGTGAAAAGAGTTTTGGAGCAGGATAGTGGTGATGGCTGCACAACAATGTGAATGTACTTAATGCCACTGAACTGGACACTTAAACATGGTTAAAATGCTAAGTTTTACATTATCTACATTTTATCACAGTAAAAAAATTAATGCAAAAACAAGAACTTATCAGATTTTTACAGGATTCCATGAATTCAGACAAGAAAATGCACCGGGACATTGGATTGCACCAGGAAGAGCCGCAGGGAAGTGTGGCCTGAGGGAGGCCCTTACCTGATAAGTATGCAGGATCTCCAGGAATGACCTGTAGATCTCAGGGTGGTCCAGAAAGCGGGTCTTAATCTTGTTCACATAGCTGATGGCGTTGTTGAACTCCACAGAATCCGACTCCAAGGGCACCTGGGGCTTGTCCTCTTTGTATAGCAGCTGTTGTTTGTAGTTCTCAGTACAGTCGCTGTGGTTGTGCGAATTCTCCTGACAACAATATGACAGTGACTGTCGGCCCAACACCAAAAACAGATAGTGACAAAAGCCAGGCCAAACACCACTATCTGTATGAGAAAAGACAAAACCTCGCACAAAGCCAAGTATATTTCAATCAGAGGCAGAAAAAAGGTGCCGCATGGGGGCCTGGCGGGAGGAATGCGACGGGGGCCCCTCAGAACAAGCAGGTGGCTCCTCCTGGGCCTGCTGTGGTCTGTGCTCTCCTGGGCAAGTCTGATGAACTTGGCCTGATCCCTTCCAACTGATTCAGACAGAGAACACGAAGGTTTCAGAAACACTCTACACTTTAAAAACTTAGCATTTGCAAGAAATGTATAAAATGTGGATTGCTGAATCGTTTTCAGAGTGGAGTTTTGGCCTCTTTATAAAAGAAATCTTCCTACACTTTTGCCAGCCCATTTCAGCAAGATTGTTTTCAACTGTAAAGTACCTACTCTGAGCAGATATAAAACTGGGACCCTGCAGATAAGGGGGCCCACTGTCCAGACTACATGGAACTGCGGGACTTTTGGTGTTAGCCCAGGGCAAGTCACTTGAGAGAAGAGATCATCAAGCATGCTCTTCATTTGTGTGCTTTCCCATCACTACAAATAAAAAAGACACACACGTCTCTCTCCTGTGCACTCAGAATCCTAGTGGGACAGGACCCACGCCCATGGCGATATTTGTGTTTCTTAACTGGAATTTTGCTTGTGGTTAGGACAGCCTCTCTCGGCCACTGACAGGAGCTGGGCCGTCAGGAGTGACCCTCGGCATCTGCAGATCCCCAGCAAGCAGAGGCTGTTTCCCAAGAAGTCTTCTGGAACCATCCTGTGCCCAACTAAAATGCCCCCGTCTCCCAGCACTCTGAGCCTCTTTCTGGATGTTTTCCTCTTACCGTAACATATTGTACTTATTTTGTTGTCTGCCCACCCTGACCAGATGGCAAACATCATGAAGACAGAGATTCTATTTTGTTCACAACTACATCCCCGATGCCTGGAACAGAACTTGGGACAGAGTAACCTTCCCCCACTGCTGGGGAATGATCAGATGAACAGGTGAAGGAACAAACTTCTACTATTTCTGCCACCCGGGCGCCCAGCAGCCCACCTGCACCAACCCCTGGCCAAGAAGGCTCTGGAGTGGGATGAGGACTGCTGGGCACACTGCCTGCCCATCAGCTGGGTGGGTGTACCAATCTGCTGGAGATGCCAGAACAAAATACCACAGACTGGACACCTTCAATTACAGGAACTTATTCCCAGAGGCCTGGAGGCTGGTTTCTCCTGAGGCCTCTTGGCTTGCAGATGGCCGCCTTCCCATGGTGTCCTCACATGGCTGTCTCTCCGTGTGCACTCAACCCTGAGTCTCTCTCTGAGCCCAGATTTCCTCCGGACACCAGTTAGATTGGATTAGGGGTCATGATCTCTGTAAAAACCTATCTCCAAATATAGTCCCATTCTAACACACTGAGGGTTAGGCCTTCAATGTATGAATTTGGGAAGGGGACACAATTCAGCTTGTAACAGTGGGTGCAGAGGCAACTCCAGAAAGTCTGAGCTGAGGAAAGCAGACACACAGCAGATCCAGAGCAGTCAGAATTCCAAACGCCACTTCTCCTGGGCAGTGAATTCATTCTAAGACACTCTGGGGTGTTCCTGCTAATTACCTCCCAATGGAAGATGGAAGGAGCAGGGAGAGGGAACAGCCTTGGGGTCAAGGTTTGCTTTACAGAAGGCTGTGCATTCACCCAAAGCTCCCCACGACGCCACTCCAAGGGGGCATTTTCAAGTGCCACATTCCCCTTCCACTCCCCCTGGAGTAAGCCACTGTGAGTGCGTCATATCTGTATTGCAACAGTTCTCACTTCAACTTATGCAAGCACCTCAAGAGCTAGAACTTCCAATAAACCTCAGGGCCTGACAGAGATGTCTATACTTACTCTGTGAGTGACTTAGGCACAGAGATGATCTGCCAGGAAGTGAATGAACTTCCAAACGACTCTCCCCAGAAAGAGGAAAGCAGGCCTCCTTTTGAAGGCAATAGGGCCACTTTCTTACAAGTGGCACTTAAAGGTTTATGTTTATCTCTGTCCTAGCTGGCCATCATCCCAGCCAAGCATAAAGTCAGCTCCGAGATGACAGGATCTGCCCTCAAAGGGACCCACTGACATAGTTTCTCCCCCGACAACATGTGCCAAAAGGAGGACACAGTCATGACCAACACAGGCGAGGGTCATGCCTGATCAGGACGACTCCCAGTTTTCCAGGGAAGGCAAATCAACAAGAAACAGTGGCTTTTTAATTTTTCCCCTGCCTTTGCTACTCTGAAATATACAAACAAGTGTGGTGCCAGAATGACCTGGAGGTGACAGTGGAGGGACTGCAGAGGTGAGGTAACAACTGAGGCCCAGAGGACTGGATCCAAAATAGTGCCGACTCAGCAGGCTGTGGCCCCAGCAAGGGGACGTTCTTCCCACCATGGTCCCTGGCCCTCCTCCAGCCATGCTTCCCTCACCATGGCCCACGTCCGTCAGTCCTCCTCTACCGACTAGTGTTCCCAGCTGGGGTGCTTCTGCCCCTCAGGGAACACTTGGCAATGTCTGGAGACGCTTTTAAGTTGTCATACCGGAGGAGGGAGTGCTACCGGCATCGGGTGGGTGGAGAAGAGAGGCTGTTCCGTGCCTTGCTGAGCACAGGACGCCTCCAAGAGAAAGAATGATCCAGCCCCAAAGGCCACGGTGCCAAGGCTGAGAAACCCCACGCGAAGGGCTCCCCAAAGGCTGGAGTACCCTTATTTTTCTTCCTCAGCACCTCAGAGCTACTCTCTCCTGGTCTGTAGTTGACAGGACTCATGAAAAAGTGAAAAATGAAAAGAATAAAGCTGTACTTCAAAACAGTGACACTATAAAAACCAATTTTTAAAAAGTCACCAGGGCACTGTGTATAGGAAGCCGTGGAACGATCTCCAGCTATTCTAGCCTCTCAAAGGACTCCAGGAAGCCAGCAAGCGTGCCATTTGTGCCTGGCATTGAGGGCACTAACAAAGGAGGCTGAAACCCTGCTGGTCCTAACCGCTGACTGAAGCTGTGTGGGCTGGTATGTTCCAGAATGCACCTCTCCAGCTGAGGGAGCAGGCCCTGGATGTGGCTTCTTCCGGCTGAAACAAGACTATAAAGCCCTTTACTGGCTGTTCACTAAGTTCTCTCCCACCTTCCTTCGAGTTAATGAACCTTCGTCACCTAAGGGAGCCAGGGGGAGACAGACTGATCTGGTCTGTTTCCTCTACCAGAGCCCTCCCTAGAGTGTGTACCAGCAGGGGCCCCGGGCTAGTTTGGGCAAGGCCACCCCTGGGCAGTTCACGTGGAGATCCAGCCCCAGAGCAGAGGGACTCCCACAGACAGAGACCGAGAAAGGTCGTGTCCATAGAGTGAGCACAATTCAGAACTTCCATCCTGCTCTTTCTTAGCAAATGATGGCAACGACACCCCGAGTTTATAGGGCACTTCAGACTCACCAAGTGCTCCATGCACACTACTGCCAGCGAGCTGGTTTCCTCCCCAGCTGTGACTATTTCAAAGATGAATCCTGCCAAGGCTTTTGCTGTCTGGAGGCACGAGTCCCACATCTGGATCTGCAGCTCCATTCGAAAATGCGAAATGGAAGCTCTTTGGAATTCAGCAGCCACAGGCTTCCAAGTTCCTTTTTCAAACTGAGATGTGCTCCTCAGTTTTACTAAGACAACACACTGAAGGTGGAGCTTGCCTTATGAAGGCCTCTCACTGTCTCCTTTCTAACCTGACTCCCTCCTTTATAGGACACTCTCATCAGAGGAGAAACCTGCAAGATGCTTCCCTACAGTAGATTTTTACCTTCCCCATTAAAACCCCAGGGACAGAGATGGAGGAGGTTGTAAGAGCAGGTTTACTTAGACCAGTGGTACTCATCAGGGGCAATTTTACCCCCAGGAGACACTTGGCAATGTCTGGTGACATTTCTGACTGCCTCCACTGGGTGAGGACCTGGTGGGTAGAGTCAGGGACACTAACTACTAAGCACCCTCACTGCTCTGGTCACCCCCCACCCCCGCCACTCGCAGCTAAACATTATACCTTATATTGCACCAGGGCCGAGGTGGGGAAAATAATAATGACCTTATAAAAGTAAGGCTCAAATAGGCTTTCGGATTCCAGATAAAGGAGACAGCAAGCTGTCCTGGAGAGAAGAGACCAAAGCCACAAGCCTGAGCTGAGCCAGTGGCTCTGCTGGTGAGTATAAAAATGGCCATTAACACCCACATCCCAGCGGCTTCATTTTATGGGTGGCACCAAGGGTGATCGGAGTGATCACATGCCCAAGTACAAGCATGACCTGCCTGATGCCCTCACCGGGAAGGCCTCAGGGCAAGAGCTCGGCCACAGAGGATGAGGTTATTATGAGGTTATTATGACCGGGCATAAAACAGCACAAGACAACGCCTCCCTGACATTCACAAGCACAGCCCCTTCAAACAACCAATCTGGGAAGCAGAGGCTGCCTGTATAGGTGTTTCTACCTATTTAGATTTGTGCTGGGATTAGCATGTCTAGAAAAAGACTGGTACTGGTTTTCCGGCAACACAATACACCAGACACACGTCTGACCTGAGTCCCCGAGGACCAGTGAAGGCTGCGTTAAGGCCCAAATCACTCAAACCAGTGCAGCAGCATACCTGGCTGGACAGAGGCGACTGAATGTTTAACTTGCCATTCTTGGGAATGTCGATTCTGTACCCCAAGGG